TTTTCTCATTTTTCAAACACAATATAACCCATTTCATAATTCTTAAATTCACATATGTCTCACATGTCAACAAATAAAACAAAATCCCAGAACCATAAAAACAATCTTCCGCCAGTGTGTACAATCATGTTGGTGCCTTTCCGCGATCCTCGGAACTACCTGAAACACATAACGCATAACACAGTAAGCATAAATCTTAATGAGTTCCCCAAAATACCACATGTGACACATTAGCCACTCAAGGATATAACTCGGTAAGACCCTCTGGTCGATGTGTCTTAGTGGGACCCTCCGGTCCCACAACTCAAGTGGACCCTCTGGTCCCTCAACTCAGTAACTCAATATAATACTCAGTAAGCATATCACAAAACAAATAGAAGGGTATCTCAATACACAGCACATACACATAAGACCCTCTGGTTACACATAAGTTACCACTCAAGGTAAGTATAAGGAGAAGACTTACCTCGTAAGCTAACAAGCGAAAACCTCGTACTCAAAAATCTTGAACTCTACCCACCGGTCTAGCCTCCGCCTAACACATAATAATTATCCCTAATTGATCTTGGCACTCAAGAAGCTAGACTAACCCTTCTACACTCACAGAAGGGTAAATGACCAATTTACCCCTCCATAGGCTTAATAGTCCACAATTTGACCAAACCCTAAAAGTCAACGGAAGGTAGAAGTTACACGTACTCGATCTCTACGTTGCGCGTACTCGGCTACCATGCAAGCATCAGGGATGCACGACCCCTACACCGCGTGTACTGGATTTACGCCCATCGTACTCTCCAGTTTCCTCATTCTCACTCCTTTGGTCTTAAACAGATAAGACATTGGATCATCTCATAGATCCAGACTCTCTAATAGCTCCTAACCCATAAAGTCAGTGACTTTAAGCCTTTGCATGGCTGAAAAGGTCACCAAACTTAAAATATACACTCTTTTGTCTCAAGGGAGCTCATAACTCAAGAATGGAGTGATTTCCATGTCCAAGATTGGATTTTTATGACATTATACTACTCATATGCTCAAAAGGGGTTAATCCTAGTCTCTGGAGTTCAAGATCTCATCAAGTCTCCACCTTTTTTGGACAAAACCATAAAATACTCAAATAAGATGCTCATAAAAAAATAGAGGCAAAGTATGAAGCTTTATACCTCAACAAGAAGCTCCCTACTCATATTTTCTTGGACCTAGAAGCTTGAACTCTAACTCCTTCTTCTTCAAGACATCCTCTTCTCTTCAAAACCACACAAAAACTCTCAAGGCTAAACACACACATACAAGCTCTAGAACGAGGGTTAAGGAACTCTTAGGGTTTTCTCTCTGGGAATTGTAACACCCAGAAATAGAAAGACCAAGAAAAGAAAGGAAAAGCTCTAAGTCAAGAGTCAACTCATCAAGTCTAGGGAGGAACTCGATGCGTCAGAGCGGGATCTGGGGCATAGAGTAAGTGACTGACTCGACGAGTCGGCTATTGGACTCGGTGAGTCTGGTCTGGATGAGAAAAACCCTAATCCTAGGGGTTGTGCCCTATTTAAAGAACATTACATCCCTTCCCCAGCCTCTTTACCACCCTTTTGAGATCTAGAAACCCCAAATTGTGAGTGAGAGTCCTTGGAAGCAATTTGAAGATTAGATAAGTGGTTTTTGTGAAGAGATCTTGAAGATCAAGAAGCTTGGATCAAGGGGGCACTACTAGAAAATAGACCTTTAATGGCGCGCTTTTTACGACACGCGCTGATTAACGATATGCAATAGGACGTGCCCTTAAAATAGTGTTATCTCTCCAACAAATTTAAGGATTTACGTCATGCATTATTGCGTGCCCTTAATTTAGTGTCTCAAGAAAAAAAATTAGAAACACGGAGGGTACTTTATCTTAAACGCGCGTCGTCTGTACATGTCGCTTTATAATTTTAATGAAATGCGCTTCTAGTTAATGAAGGGGGATACAAAATCCCCAAAATTTTGAAAAACCGCCTTGTTTTTTCTATCTTCTATCTATTTTCATCCTTGCAATCCACTCTCCCCTCTCTGATACTCTCTCCTCTAGATCTCCCTTCGTTCTCTACCTCCCGTCTCTCTGTAAACCTCGAAGGTGAATCGTAATTGATCTACGAGGTCTCCTTCTTTTTCTTTGTTTTCTCAGGTACAGCATCATCCTAATCCATTAACCCCTTTCATTTTTCATTAAGAAAACTCTAATTGACTTGGCAAGTTCATGAACCATATGTAGCACATTCCAAACTGGGGATTTAACCAAACCTGATAGAGCCATTGACGGAATCTTTGGATCTGGTCAACAAGGACTCTCTGTAATTGCGCAGCTTTCTTCACAAGGGATCGCTCCAGGTCTTCAATCTATCAATCTACAATGGCCACTGTCAGGTTACATCGAATCAAGGTCTAGGGTTTCAAATGCTTCAAGTTCTTCCCAAATAATTTCCCCTCTCAAGATGATTTTCCTCGATCGTATCTTTATGGAGATGATTCTCTCTCGATCGGATTGAAGACCGCTCACTCTCTCCTTAGATCTCCATGTGAGTCTGATCCCCCCTCTCTGTAACACCCTCGCTTCCTTCCAAAAATTGAATACCATTCTCTCTCGATTGTATCTTTATGGAGAAATTTAGACACAATAATCTCAACATAAAATTTGTAACTGAACTTCTCTTCACATCTACCCTACTCCATCTACAACGACTCCTTAAATTTACAAACCCTAGTCCAGTTGCGCTTCTAGTCAAATCAGGTACCTATCTATCTGCTTTCTGAATTCTCCTGGATTGGAAATTTCTTGATACTTCGATAGCTTTTAAACAAACAAAAATCAGTTTTTCTCTCAATAATCTGTTGGATTTTTCATTGGTGTTCCCCTTACTGGTTTCGATAACCTCTCTAATCTGTGAGGTTTGTGTTTACTTTCTTTCCCTCCCTCTCTCTAAGAAGAAAACGCAACCTCATCGCCTTCAATCACCCAACGACATAGGTGAAACTCAAACTTCTCAGACCAAAAGAAATATTGTACGAAATAAAAACTGTCCATTAATGGAAGAAGTGTAGGGGGTTGCTTATTGGTGTTGTTGTAAACATGAGACCTGATTTATTTAAGGCTACTGTAGCTGTAGTACCATTTGTAGATGTTGTGACTACAATGCTTTTTGAGCTACTTGTAGGGATACCACCGTTTAATGCAGAATCTCCATTGGTACTCACTCTCATAAAAGTCTGACACTTTGTTGAGGATGGAGGGTAGATTGCATTGCATTGCATAAAAAGGTAACAAATGTACTTTGGTCATCTTCTCATTTTCTTAATTTGGTTGGGTTAGGGTGCAACAAGTCTTTGCCAACATTATGAACAGAGATATAACATGGCCCAAAATTCTTGAGGAGATGAGCTATGAAGCATATGATCGGATTAATAAGTAATTTTCTACTTTTTTATCAATCAATCCAATCATCACATATTTATACATAATTATAATTATGTTTATGTTTTTTTAAATTTTAGGTTGCTGACTGAAAATCCAGCTCAACGCCTTGGTGCCATAGGGGCTGTACAGGTAACATTTTCTCTCTCCATTATATATATATATATATATATATATTATATATATATATATATATATATATATATATATATATATATATATATATATATATATATATATATATAAGGCAAAGAGGTAGGAAGTTAATTGATAAATAATATGTGTGACTTATTAATGATACACAAACAGGTAGAGATGCACCATTTCTTTAAGAATATCCACTGGGACACACTTGCAAGGCAGAAGGTAATTTCATCTATTTTAAACTTTTATTCTAAGAAAAAAAAAGTTGTTTTATAAGAGTTGAGTTGAGTTGAGTTGTGTGGGGTATGTTTCAATCAGGCTACATTCATACCATCTGTTGAGACTCTGGACACGAGTTATTTCATGAGCCGGTCTATTTGGAATCCAGAAGATGAGCAGGTTGATGGAGGCAACAATTTTGATGATATGTCTGATACAGGCAGCACATTTGGTGATAGTTCTTTCGGCAATATGCTAGAGGAAGAGGTATGATCTCATATCCATGCATCCTTTTCCACACACACACAGAGACACACACATACCTGGTTTCTTTTGTAATCCTTGATCATTTGGCTATGTGATTAAACAGGCCGGGTGATGAATGTGGTAACCTGGAAGAATTTGGTGCTTCAACTCTCAATGTGAATTACTCATTCAGTAATATCTCATTTAAGGTATGATGACACAACCTACACTTTTTATATATATACACACATTATTGATCACTATATGAGTTAGATGTAACAGCCTTGAAGTTTGATATAGTCTTAAGTCTTGACTAATAAAAAGATTTGAGATTTTGCTTCACGTTCCCTGTTATGATTCAGGGAGGGAACAACCTTATTAGATAAGCAAAAGTTGATGAAGATTTTACATATAAACAAGAGAATTAAACTAGGAATTAGGAAAGTTAGCTGAAAATCAAATATTCTTCTTTCCAACAACAACAACCAATTATATTGTAATAAGCTAAGGCCTCTTTTAGTGACATGACCATACTTGGTGTTCTTATCATTTTCTATAATCTGAAAGGTTGCTTGGTAATTAAGTATTCAAATCAAAATATTTGGCAGGGCTATTAAAGATGAAATCACAACGTGTTCTATAAACCATGAAAATTAGAGTAGCTACAACTACTCTATTGACCTACCTAAGATACAATCTTGATAGATGAACTGAATACATATATATTAATACTTGTTCAGGTGAATGCTCTGTTATCTTATTTAGAGATCGATAATCATGAGGGGTTGGTTATGGAGCACCTGCCTGGTAGATACGCAGAGCTGGATCAGTATTGGGGGGAGTCGCAAGTCATGGGGCCCGGGCCAGATGGTTGGGCTGATGAATTTTCCCAAGAACACGGTAGGGACCCGAATGCTTGGGCTTTATCCTTTGAGCAACAACATGGTACTGGGCATTGGGCTTTTAAATTCTAGCATGTGAGTGAGCTATTTCACATCAATAATTAAAATAATAGTTAAATGTTGACTTACTATTAATTCTTATGTTATTGATTTCAGGAGCAAACGCAGATGATGTCTGTGGTCCGAATGGCAGGTGCAAACGCGTTCATTATTATTTCTCTCTCTCTCTCTCTCTATATATATATATATATATATATATATATATATATATATATATATATATGTGTGTGTGTGTGTGTGTGTGTGTGTGTGTCCTTGTCACAGGAAGTAGATCCATTTGAGAGATTAACTGATCAAGACATCCGCACTACAATCCACCATGTAACTGGTCCTAGATCCGCTTTATTCATGCAAGAGGTTTAAATTTTTATTTATTTATTTATTTATATTAATAATTTAACCCTATAATACATATATATAGGTTCCACTTCAAGTTTTGGTTCGAGGACAAATAGCTCGGTTGTTGGATCATTGTCTTCAATGTGCTAGACTTGTATACAATGAATTAGTAACAGTATTATCTTTTTTTTCTTTTTCTTTTTCTTTTTTATAATTCAGAATAAATAAATATTTGGGAAATATTTCATATCACCCATAGTTGTCTAGTGCATGAACTACAATAGTTTCCTGTTCTTAAGATGCACATTAATGACATTGCTGGGAGTTTTTTGTTTGAAGGTCTTCAACCTTCATAAACAATGGTTGGACACTTACTAGAAATGGAGGTATTATACCAAAGTACTTCAATTGTGATTTTAATACATGCATGTTCCTGTTTATTTAAACCAAAGTATTTATGGTGTCAGGTTACTTCAGTAAAAACTTGTAGTTGGTATTCACCATTGACTATTGATTGACTTACTTTTTTCTGTTTGATGCAGAGTCAATTGGTAGGGAAATTGTTAATTTTTCAAAGCAAAACAAAGGGTTGATTGAACGAGAGAAAAGAAAACACCAACACTCCATGGCTAATAAGAATAAAAAAGATAAAGATATGAGGAAAAAAAGGTAAAACAAACTCATATGTATGAATATGATTTGTATGGTAATTAAATTTATAGTGTATGTATGTTTTGGTTTGCATGCAGTCTTTGTTTGGCAGCTTGGACAAACTTTGTAGCACCTGATCGTCCATGCCAATCTTGGTAAAACAAATTTATAGTGTACTTCTTCCATTCATGTTAGTAATTTCTCATTATGATGTGTTGTTTCTTGTGCATTTTTATTTTTAGGAGGTATTTTACTTTCTTTAATATTTAAAGTTACAGGACATGAGTATCAGCACATCATGGAACATTTAGGGTAGTTGTTGCTTTTCCTCTTGGTGATCCATCAATGAAGTGGCCAACATCATGTAATAACATTTTAGGGGAAGATGTAGGTATATGTTTTTTTTTAATGAATAATGTAATCATATGTATGAATATGAAATAAAGTTTGTTATTTGTATGACAATAAATTTTATGCAATGGATTGTATTTTTTGTATATGGTATTTTATTTTCTGTTATGAGACATTAAATGCAAATTTAATTTGAAAATTAGTAAATCTATATATAATATTGTTTTTAACATTTAAAATTACGATACGCATTAATGTGTGTCATCTTTATTTATGACATGGCCTTTCTTGACAGGGGCTTCCTTGATACGCATTGCGTGTCATAAACATGCGCGTCGTAAGGTTACGACACACAAATACGTGTCGTCTTCCTTTACGACAAGGCCTTCCTTGATACGCATTGCGTGTCATAACCGCGCGTCGTAAATGCACGTCATAAATGCGCGTCATCTCTCTTTATGACAGGGCCTTCCTTGACGTGCATTTGTACGTCATCTAAGCGTTTTACGACACGCAATGAGCGTCGTAAAAGGCTGTTTTTCTAGTAGTGGGGTTTACAGAGATTTGGATTATTCTTCAGTGGGAGGTCATCTTGGAGGTAATAAGTTGTTACCTTCACCCTTTTTGCATTTAGATCTATTCTTGAATGAGATTTTAGGGCTATTTTACTAAGATTGAGATCTATTTCGGGTTTGGGGCTTAGATCTGAGGTTGCTACTTTAGATCTAGGTTTGTGATGGTCAAGAATGTCTTAAAGCAGCAGTCAGTGAGTTTGTGGTGAAGCCCCTTTGTCTTAAACCCTAGCCCTAGAGCGTTTTGGGCCTTTAGCTCCTTGGTTTCACGTAAAGTTTGCAGCATTACGTGGGGATTAAACTTTAGAAGAGTGGATCTATGGGTTGGAGCCCCTGCATGGCTCGAAAAGCAACTGTATGGATTAAGAGTTGAATAGACTTAGCGAGTCACATGGGTGTACTCGGCGAGTTATATGAACATGAGCATGGACTCAGCGAGTCTGTTGAAGATTGCCTTGGACTCGGCGAGTCTGGTCGTAGAACCTCAAGCTTTTCTGGTTAAGATGCAGATTAGTGAGTTGAGTGGTGACTCGGTGAGTTGGACAGGATGGGACTCAGAGATCGTTGAACTCGACGAGTCTTGGGGTGACTTGGCGAGTTGAGTCATATTTTGAGAGTTTCTGAGTTTAAGAACTCGGTGAGTCTATGAGTTGACTTGGCGAGTCGAGTCAACTGGAAGGTTGACTTTGAACAAGACTTTGACTTTGACCAGAGTTGACTTAGTTTGACTTTTAGAGTTCAGTTTGGAGCTAAGTGTTATATTGATATTAGTAGCTCGGGGAGCTAGTGGAGCAGCGATTCAGAGAGTTTTCGGACAGCAGCCAGAGGGTTATCAGCAAACTTCAGCAGTGCATGTGGGTTTCCTTTTGTGTGAATAGGTCTACAGCCACAATGCCGACCCATGTAGTTATGAGTAGGAAGACCCGGGGGTTAGCCCTTGGCACAGTATGCTAGTATGACATTCGACACTAAGGTCCAATGTTAGCGGTCGGGTTTCCAAGGAATGGTTTCCATGATTGGTCCTAATTGTGAAGGGCATCAAGATAAGTCGGGGTAGTATTATTGATTTGGAACTCGAGTGTGGAGTAGCTTGCTATTTTGAGGAGATGTTAGGTCAATTGTTGATGGGTTTGGATAAAATTAGAGTAAGATTTGATCCTATTACACAGCTCTGGTCTGAGTCTAACCATTGCAAGGACGAGTCTCCCATTTGAAGGATTATCTGAGCCGTGGTCAAATATAAGTGTTCTGCGGGGATAATCGATCGGTGATTTTGTTTCTAATATGACTCTCAAATATTAAAAAGTTGAGCAGTCTATTGGCAAATTAATGGGTTGTATTCAACATTGGTTCGGTATGGGTGGTCTGTCAGGGAGACAGACCATCCCAAGACTTCATATGTCAGGTCGAGTAGTTGTGGTTAATTCGCAAGGGATCGTCATCAGAACGTGAAGGGATTCATTTATCTGCGGGTTGGAGAGCCCTGCGAGGGGTGGTTTTGGTCGCCTTGGGAAGAGGGTGGTATGCTCGGGGTTGTGGTCGTATAGTTCAAGTTATTGGGTGTGTCAGGAATGGTAAGGAATGATTTTGAGGACGAAATCTAATTTAAGTGGAGGAGAATAGTAACATTCCGTTTGAAATTAAATAAAATAAGTAAATAATTATTAAGCCCTAAAACCCGAGATGTATTATATATTTTATTTTATTTTTAGCCATGAATCCTAAATAATTAATCAGTGTTAGCCAAGGGAGTCAAATGATGCAATTCCATATTGGGGTCTATATTGTAACATTAGGGTCTGGAATGTGAAATATTTTGTAGAGGAGGGGTTGTTGGGTAATTACTTGATTTGAATTGAAAAGAAAAAGAGAGGGAGGGCAAAAAGTGTTAATTTGGTAAAATTTTTGAAATTGGACAGAGGCTTATAACCCATCACCCTTATCCCTCATAACCCTGACCCTACTTCAACTTCTTTAGCCACCACCATCCTTATGCCTCCATGCTCCAGCCGCCGTCATCTCCTAGCCTCGCATGGACCGCCAAGCACCACCGTTGTCACTTCTATCGCTGGCGAATTTGGGGATGGAGTTGCAATCATCGTGAAGGTCAGATAAACCGGGTGTCATGACCTTTGTGATCGTTTTCCCATGGATGTCGTTGCTTTTGTTTTTGGTAGGAGTCACCAATGTTTTCTCTTCTTCGTCTCCATCTTTTATCGCGCCCTTGTCATCGTTGTTGCTTCGAGTGGTCGTTGTAAGTTGTTGCCAATCATTATGCTCGCCGCATGCCACCGTGAAGGGAGGTTGTGTTCGAGTTTCGCAATTGGGTGTGTATTTTAGTGTTGTAAAGCGATGTATGTGTGTGTATTTCAGTTGTAAGTTGTTATGTAGTTGTTACTTATCTAGAAACCGATGAAGAACCCCACCATGGTAGCCACCATGGTGGTTGCCGCCACATCTACTTTTCTGCCGCCACCAGCTGCCGTGTTGGGTGGTTGTGTGCATGAATTAATGCGTGTTTGTGTGCTTTTCTACACAAAATAATGAATTGGTTGCTTGTTGTCGGATTTTGACACGAAAACCACTACCACCGCCATTACGTGGTGGCTGCCGCCATGAACCGCCGTCGACCACCATCGCCCGAGGTGGCAGTGGGTGGTGCCCGACCTAGTGAAACCTAATTAACCTAAAAACTGAACTTTAGATCAAGTTGGCATGTGTTTAGGTTGGATACTCTAATTAGGGTTTAGAAAACCCTAATCTTGGAGACTTCTGCTATGGATCTACCAGGACCCGCATTTTGGACTGTTATTTTGATATTATGAGTAACGCCCGACCACGTTGATTGATTGGCCTAGTAGAGTGATGGGCTTAATGGATTAAGTCCTTAATGGGTTAAGTGTTCTTATTTAACCCTAATGTCATTTTATGTGAAACCCATATTTGTGTTTAGGCTTCGAGTTGGGCCTTTCTTTTGGGCTTAGGTGTTTGGCTTCTTGTTGGGGCATCTGAGAACAAATGTATGGACTAGGATATTTGGATGAGCTTTAGGGTAAGGCCCATATAAGGGGTTTGGGCCCAATTTGGAAAATTAGGCCTTAGTTGAATATTTAGCTTTTGCTCCATCAGAGTGTGGGTTTGGGCCTTGGTCTTGGACCAAGCTAGGTTAGAGGTAAAATGGTATTTTTACCCCAAGTATGGACTTATGGTTATGTATTGGAACCCAGCTGTCAATTGTATTATTGATAGTTCAGAGAGATGTCAGCAAGTAGTTGGGGTTTGTCTATGTGCTTCGACAGTGTGAGGTGAGTTTTCTCACTATATTCATGGGTCGATGGCACCAATGTTGGCCCATTACTTGTTATTTGAAATACTAGTTGTCTTTGTGATACTTGCATGAAAGACCATGGGGTAGCCTATGTTATTTCGATATAAGACAATGGGGGAGCCCATGACATTTTGATATAAGACCATGAGGGGAGCCCATGGCATTTAGATATACGACCATGGGGGAGCCCATGACATTACTAGTAAAGACCATGGGGGAGCCCATGGCAACTAATTGTCTGTTACATGATATACTGTGGATGATATTTTGTGGATGTTATTTTGTGATTGTATGTAATGTGGTATTTTGGGGGAAACTTACTAAGCTTCGCGCTTACTGTTTTGTTTATGGTTTCAGGTATCATTTATTTTGAAAGGAAGGACCCGAATTGATCACATTGCACACACCCGTGTTTTTCATCATATGTGATTTTGGGATGAACTCTACTAAATGTTTTTAATTAGCAATGTTTTTGGAATGCTTGGTTTAAACGACATCTATGTTTTGACTGTGATAAAAATGAAATTTTTACCCTTGATTTTTGGGTTTTTACATACCGTAATGTTTTCACACATTTGTTTTTATAATATACTTTGTAAATGTTGGGAAAAGTATAATATTAACAAACATAAAAACATTAAACAAAACGGAAAAAGTCGATACACCCTACTATCTTAAGGGTTTGTGTTCTTCAATCCTCTCATCAATGTAGTTCAATACATCGCCCAGTTTGACTAAATGCAGATATTACGTTAAGACAATCAAAAGAAATAAAATTCAATATAAACCTTTTTCAAAAGAACGGATGTCCAAAAAATTATTTGAAACTTCATCTTTTCGTCATACTCAGTATATGTTTCGTCTAACATACTATACAATTCTTCTTTGCGATAAAGGTCTTAGTGGGTGTTTGGATATGCTTATTTAAAGTCTTTATTGACTTATTCTGGTTTGGCATAGTAATAATGAGTTTTTTATGTTTGGATAACAAGATTTTATTAGCACTTAT